CTTCCTCCTGCACTTTAGATTTCAGTTTTAACTCATAAGAGGTTAGTGAGTTAATGATAGATTCAATAGGCACAGAACTTAAATCCTTAGCCTCCTCTATTGCAGTCACTTTATTTTCCCATTCTTTGCCCAATGCATTGAGAATTTTTCTGTTCTTCTCTCCCAAGGTGTACTCTTTGCCCAACACCTCGAGATCTTTGATCAAGTCAGTGAACCTGCAAAACATTTTGTCAATATCCTCAAGAGGTTCAATCTTAAAAGATTCATACTTTGTGACCAAGATGGCCTTTCTCTGTTCTCTCACATTGTCACCACCCTCATGGATTTCTCTTAACTTATCCCACATTTCTTTGGCTGATTTACAGCCTTTCACTCTAATTGATTCATTTGAATCTAAGGCACTATAAAGAACATTCATGGCCTTGGCATTCAATGTGAGGTTAGTCCTGTCTTGAGCATTCATTTCAGCTCTCATTTTTGGCCGAAGCAGCCCTGTATCTGCATCAAGAAAGTTAGATTCATGCGATCCTTCACTCACAATAAACCACAGTTCAATATCAATAGATTGCAAAAAAATAATCATCCGTTCTTTCCAGCTAACATAGTTGGAGCCACTGAACATGGGAGGCCTAGTAACAGATTGCCCCTCAACAAACATAGCATGACTGGTTGTCATCTTTACTCCAAGCCGTTAGAGCTTAATCTCAAGGAGACCAAGCTCTGATACCAATTGTAAGTCCCAAAGACAACCAAGAGGGGGGGTGAATTGGGTTATTCAAAATCTTAATCAGATTTAGGCAATTTTTGCTAAATGAAAATTTCCTTCTTTTCTAGTAATGATCAACCAAGTAGATTAGAAGACAAGAGCAATATTGATCAGAAACACAAGTATAGACAAGCAATGAGAATTTTATTAAACAGAAAAGTAAATTGGGGAATCAAACCAAGTGTCTACCAAGCTATCCTCAAACTTGAAGACCACACACTAGGAAGAGCAACTTCTCTTTGATGGAAGACGATCAACTAGATGTACAATGGAGGGAGCACTTCCTCCTTGCCCTAAGCCTCACTTAGTCAAGCTAAGAAGTTTTACAATCACTCAGAAAACCCTCAACAAAGCTACACTAATGATCCTTTCAATCACAAAAGAAATGCTCACCAGAAATTCACACCACTTTAAAACAAATCTATCTTTGGAGACTATTTTCTAGCTAAAATATCTCTTGAGATCTTGTAAACAAAGTGTGCAAAAGTCCTCCCTTCGTTCAGAACAGTTTGTTTTTAAAGGGGAACAGAAATGAGCTTCATTAAAGCTTCCAACGGATAGAAGGCAGATGAAGGGTCAGCTAGCCGTTGGGGCTTTCGGACGTCCGACGATCAAATCATCGTCCGAACCAATCGTCCGAAAATAGCCAAGTTGAAGTTCGGACGTCCGATGAGATTTTTGTCGTCCGACAGCACAGCGTCCGATCGTAGGCCGAGAGCTAGCAAGTTATCTTGGAATTTTTCGGACGTCCGATCTGGTTGATATGCGTCCGAGGTGTGCGTCCGATCCTTCCGGACGTCCGACAGTTTCCTTTCGGCCGTCCGACCTGATTGTCCTGTTTTTGCTTCTCATTTTGGTTGTCTTGCATTTCATGACATATTTGAACCTGATTCTTGGATAGACAGAAACACTTGTATTTGAAGGAGGTTAGATAAACATTTCAAAGTACCAAGAATGACAAACTAGACATACTTAAAAGACAGTATCTTTGATCGGAACAAAACAATGACTAAATTCATTTATATTATTTCAATCTTGTTTGCCACATCCAAAGCATCGTAGACTGGAGTCAATCAAACATATGCTTTCCTTGTTCCATCAGGCCTGATCAATCTTGGTCAGTATAAACGAACTTTTGTGATCATCAAAACCAAGAATAACACCCACGGTGAACGCTTGAACCTTGAGTGACATTCCTTCTTGTTTACTTGGTGAGTGTCAAGTGCATAATTACTTGAACTCCTGTGAAATTGATACATGCTTACTTGTTATTCATGACTTGAGATTTTGAAAATGGAGTCGAGTGTGTACTTTATCGCACTCGTTCTCATTTGAAATGAATAACTCATGCTTGAAATGCTGGAATATATCAAATGCTTGAAATTATCAAATGCTTGGATATATCAAATGCTTGAATGACATGAATTTGTTTGCTATGGCTGCAAACGTCGTTGGAGTGAATCTCCTCGACATACAAATGTTACATGGGGGACGCCCAAACTCATAGGCGGGCCTTGGGACTCGAGTCGGCATGGGTTTGGTCGGGAATCTCGCTGAGCCATGAGAATCACATGATAAGTTTGATCTATTAGAGAGATCTCGCTTGGCATACTCGTGGAGTATCGCCCTATAAATGTCGTGCGGGCCCGGTGCGGTGTACGGTGGACGGACATGAGAAATAAGTGGAGATCTACGGATTGAAAATACCGATCCGATTGATGGAGAGTCATCGCGGGAAGGTATACGAGTGACCCTGGCAAAGCAAGTGGAACTTAGCTCCTAAGAGCTATCATATCCTTGAATTGTTTCTGTTTACATTTCATCGAAATTGTTAATTACTCGCACCTTATCAATTGATCTGTTATTTGGGTTTGCTACTTGGACTATGTGCTTGCATGTGTGTTCTTGGTCTCACGAGCGTTTTGCTCACCCTGTAGATTTATTTTCCTTAACAGGATTGGTCATGGAGTGAACTTGGAGAACCCCCTTTTGTTGTACTTTTGGCTTAGGGTTCCTAATGTATTTTTGGGCTAGACCTCTTATTGATTGTACTTTTGAGAACCTAATGTATATTTGGGATATTTGATGTATCTAGATGTTGTATATCTTGGGTATTGATGTAACTTTTGGAAATCCGATGTAAGGATCGGATAATTGTTATTTATGGTTAAGTTTGAAAGTTTTCACACTTTCTTACTTTAATTCATGGTAATGGCTAGTATTGTATTAAGCTTGAAGGGATTTTGTACCGAGTTCTAGTGAGAGCTGGGCAGGCGTCCCGCGGATACCCTTTGGTTCGCCTTAGGGAGAAGTGGGGGCGTCACAGTTGGTATCAGAGCACTAGGTTAGAGATCTATATGGGAGACCTACTAGATACTCTATCCTTAAGACCTGAGACAGAATGACTTAGTCATACTTCAAGGGATATTTGGGCAAATTTGTGACTAAGTTAGGCATGCCGTAAGTGACATCTATGCGAGTTAGCGATTAAGTCTCTGACCCGAAAAGTGTAATTGTTTTGCAGGGATGGAAAATGAAAATGGGACTCCGGCAACTAATGGGAATGGTCATGCTAATGGTCATGTAGAGTCTCTTAGGCCTATCTACTACCGGGCTCTTAGTGGAGGGGTTCGAGCGCGCTACTCACCCTCCGATAGGTACCCCCGATGTTCGTGTAGGTTGACTTTTGCTTACCCGAACCACCTCGTGCTAGCCTTGGACGATGAGCATCGTCAGTTGGTGACTGCCAATTTAGATTTGCAGGTGGATGTGGACGAGCTGAAACAGATGGTTAGTGCTCAGGGTGAGCGGATCGCTGAGCTCGAGGAAGTGATAGAAGGCGAGGTGGCTACTGCTGCAGTTACTCGTGAGGAGCTCCAGAGGACTAGGGCTCGACTCACTAACTTAAGTGAGGAGGTCCATGATCGGGCTTCCGGGATCCTGGCTGATGCTACTAGGCTAGTAGAGGAAGTGATGGATGTAGTCCAGAGCCCTGATCAGGAGGAGGATCCTGAGGAGGAGATTCCGCCTGGTAGTCCTACTGTAAACTAGGCCCTAGTGATTGACCCTCTTTTGACTCTTTTGACCCTTTTGACTGGGACAGTTAGGATTAGCTGGGGTGATACTAAGTGCTGAGGCCATTGTATTTTGCATGACTGTGTGGCCTACTTTTGAGGCACTTGCTTTTACTCTAGTTTTCTGTGACTAAAAGTACTCTTGTGGCACCTGTGTGCTATATTTTTTATAATTTTCCCCATGACTTGCTGATTGTATGGATCTTGATATGCTAATGAATGTAAATCATTTTATTTCCAATGTTTTCTTGATTGGTTCTTGTTTTCGACTTTTCTTGCATAATTGATTTATTTCTTACACTAGGCACGTCTAGAATAATGGAAGGACTAAGAAATGGTCGAGGCTGTGGGCGAGGGACTAGACAGGTCCAACCTCATGGGGATGACCAGGGATCGGCAACGGGACCGACGCAGGGACAGAAAAATGTAGAGGGAAATCAAGTGGCTACCGCCATCAATAGGATGACTGACATCCTAGAATGCTTAACTGATAGGCAAGGTCCTGGACCGCTTAACCAACCTGGGGGATAAGATAGAGGAGAGGATAGAGCCTTAGAGAGGTTCTTAAAGTTCAACCCGCCTAAGTTTACTGATGAACTCGACCCTAATGTAGCGGAGAACTGGTTGGAGAGAATGACCAATATATTCGCCGCCTTAGACTATACCGAGGATAGGTGAGTGAATTTTTCTGCTTTCCAATTTGAGGGATGGCACGTGCTTGGTGGGATATGATAAAGGGAAAGTGGAAAAGAACCCAAACCCCTTGGACCTGAGAGAATTTCACGAGACAGTTTAATGAGAAATTCCTTCCGTCTTTGATCCAAGAAAAGAAGGAGGATAAATTTATCAAGTTGAAACAAGGAACCCTTAGTGTGACGGAATATGAAGGGAAATTCACTAAACTTTTCAAGTATGCCCCTGAGTTGGTGATTAATGAGCGAAAGCGGATAAGGCGATTTGTACAAGGGCTTAATATGGAAATCCAGGAGGGTTAGGCCGCAACCCAAATCTCTACACTTACTGAGCCTTTAGAGAAAGCGCAAAGGGTTGAAAGTGCAAGAATGAAAGTGAGAGACTTTCACCATAGGAAGAGGAACTAATCTAGTCGTACTTCTGGATAGACTAGTAAGAATACTCAGCCTTCTAAAATTGGAAGAGGAATGGGAGGAATAAGGACTGCTGGAGCTTCGAGAGGAGCTTTATCTAGAGGAGGTAGTAGTGGGCCGACCCAAGCTAGGAGAGTGCCTTCTACTGGTTCAGCTATGACCCCTCAAGTCACTTGTAGGTACTGTGAAAAATCCAACCACTCCGAGAATGATTGTTGGAGGAAGTCTGGGAAGTGTTTGGCTTGTGGTAGTACAGAGCACCAACTCGCGAACTGTCCAAACAAAATGAAGATGGGAGGTAACACTCAGGGACCAGAAAAATCAACCTCTAAGCAAACCGGTGCCGGAAGAAGTCGACCGAAAGTACCGGCTAGGGTTTATGCACTGGACTATCAATAGGTTCCTGAGGCTACTGAGGTGGTTGAAGGTACAATTCCAATTTTTCACCGTTTAGCTAGGGTTTTAATTGATCTGGGTGCAACACACTCTTTTGTAAACCCTAATTTCATGAGTGGAATAGACTTGAACCCAATTAAATTACCGTATGATTTGGAGGTTAAAACGCCTACTGGAGACCAAAGTCTAATCGCTAACTTGATGTATAGAGATTCTGAAATCTGGATTGGAGAACGAAAACTATTGGCCGATTTGATAGGTTTAGTGATTAAGGGATATGATGTGATCCTAGGAATGGATTGGCTAGCCCGTTATAATGCCCAATTGAACAGCAGGACAATAATAGTAGAATTGTACATTTCGGGAGAGGCGACCCTGAAATTGGATGTAAGGGGTAGATTAGGCTTATCTGCACTTATCTCAGGAATTCGAACTAGAAAAATATTAAGTAAGGGAGCTTGGGTATTTTTGGCTTTTCTAATCAATACCCCTAGTGATAAGGTGAGATTGGAGGACATGCCTGTAGTAAAAGATTATCCGGATGTTTTTCCTGAGTAGTTAGAGTCTTTACCCCCGAAAAGGGAAATAACTTTTAGGATTGATGTAATTCCGGAAGTAGCACCTATCTCTAAGACGCCATATCGGATGGCTCCAGTCGAATTGAAAAAATTGAAATTACAACCACATGACTTGTTGGAACGGGGCTTTATAAAGGAGAGTGATTCACCATGGGGAGCCCCAGTCTTATTTGTTAAGAAGAGAGATGGAAGTTTAATGTTGTGTATAGACTACCGAGACTTGAATGAGGTTACCATCAAGAATAAGTACCTGTTGCCCCACATTGATGAATTGTTTGATCAATTGCAAGGGGCGGTAGTATTCTCGAAATTGGATTTGAGACAGGGTTACTATCAATTGAAGGTTTTGGAAAAAGATATACCCAAAACTGCTTTTAACTCGAGGTATGGACACTTCGAGTTTGTAGTAATGCCATTTGGATTAACGAATGCACCTGCTGCTTTTATGGACTTAATGCACAGGGTCTTTAAGCAATATCTAGACCAATTTGTGGTGGTCTTTATTGATGATATTCTGATGTACTCTAAGAATGTGAAAGATCACGAGAAACACTTGAGAATTGTTTTGCAAACTTTGAGAGAACACCAATTGTATGCTAAGTTTAGCAAGTGTGAATTTTGGTTAAAAGAAGTAACTTTCTTGGGGCATATGATTTCTAAGGATGGGATTAAAATGGATCCAGCTAAAGTTGAGGTTGTTTCAAAGTGGAAACGACCGGAAAACCCTACTGAGATTCGAAGTTTTATAGGACTAGCAGGGTATTACCGGAGATTCATTAAGGATTTTTCTAGAATTGCTGGACCTATGACTAAGTTGACCACGAAAAGTGAGAAATTTCTTTGGAGTTCCAAGTGTGAAGAGAGTTTCCAAGAGTTGAAAAGACGGTTGACAAGAGCGCCTGTGTTAGCTTTACCGAATGGAAAGAATAGTTTTGTGGTCTACACAGATGCTTCTAAGGAAGGCTTGGGATGTGTTTTAATGCAAAATGATAAAGTGATAGCATATGCATCTAGAAAATTGAAACCATATGAAAAAAATTATCCGACTCATGATTTGGAATTAGCAGTTATGGTGTTTGCTTTAAAGAAATGGAGACATTATTTGTATGGAGTAACGTTTGAGGTTTTTACTGATCATAAGAGCCTTAAGTATTTGTTTTCTCAAAAGGAGTTGAATTTGAGGCAACGTAGATGGATGGAATTTTTGGAAGACTATGATTGCACGATAAAGTACCATCCGGGGAAAGCCAATGTGGTGGCCGATGCTTTGAGTTGTCAGGTACAAGTGGCCTGATTGATGATTAAGGAATTACACTTGTTAGAGGAAATTAGTTGTTGGAATCCTAAACCTGAGCCGAGAAAAGTAATTCTAGAAAATATTGTAATGAATTCCATTCTGTTGGAATGTATCAAGGAATCTCAAGAAAAGGACCCTGAAGTGCAAAAATGGGTGGAGAAAGTCGAAAAGGGAGAAAAGTAGGATTTTAACTTCGGAACAAATGGTATTTTGAAATTTCGGAATCGGATAATGGTGCCAAAGGATGAAGGGCTTAAGAAGGACATTTTGGAAGAGGCACACCGCTCGAAGTTTACGGTACACCCTGGAGGGAATAAAATGTACCAAAACTTGAAGAGTCTATACTGGTGGGAGAGTATGAAGAAGTAAATTGCTCAATTTGTCCAGACCTGTTTGACTTGTCAACAAGTAAAAGCTGAACATCAAAAACCATCGGGACTTTTGCAACCTTTGGAGATACCTGAGTGGAAGTGGGAGAATATCACTATGGATTTTGTATCAGGGTTACCAAGGACACAGAGAGGCCACGATGCTATTTGGGTGATAGTGGATAGGCTGACCAAATCGGCTCATTTTCTACCGATCAATATGAAATACCCATTGGAGAAGTTAGCTAAGTTGTACTTGGATGAGATTATCAGGTTACACGGAATCCCTGTAAGTATTGTGTCCGATAGAGACCCATGATTTGTTTCAAGATTCTGGCAAAAGATACAAGAGGTATTGGGGACTAAATTAAATTTTAGTACTACTTATCATCCCCAGACCGATGGACAGTCTGAGAGAACAATTCAAACCCTTGAGAACATGTTGAGGACTTGTGTTCTGGATTTTGGGGAGAGTTGGAGCAAGTATTTGACACTGGTGATGTTCTCAAGCTGGCAATTCCAATTGTCTTCGCATTCAACCATGCTGCCTCTGTAGAGCTCTCCGCTCTTCAGCTCTACGGTCAATGTGTCCTGTGGCTTCATGTAGAAGCTTCACCGGTATACCTAAGCTACGACTCATTGCTATTGCTATTTCCTGTTATGCTCCCTACGCAAAACCCTAAACCCAAAGTCTAGCAAAAAACTACCAAAAATTAATTAGCAGTAACTATATACTAGTAGATCCAGCACAAAGTTTCGAAAAAAAAGTTTAAAAAATCGTAGACAAATGTAAAAATAGAAATGCACAATCAATTCTAAGAATTATAGCAAAAAAAAAAGATGCATACAAGAGATTGAAATTTGTGAGATTAAAAGTAAATAAATAAATAAAAGGCGAGAAGAGAGAGATAAAATAAAGTAACCTTACCGGATAAAGAGGTAGAGAAATATATCCTCGCTGTTGGCTGCCGCGCGGAAGATGCTGTGTTGCGGTTCAGCTAGGAGAACTATGTCTTCACCTAGCGGCGAGGACAGGGAAAGTTAATAATGTGGCCGCGTACAAGTGAGATCCGCTATATCAAGTTCCGGACCTATATTTACGATTTGACCCACCCATGCTTCCTAATCCTAATCTTTTCCTAACTTTTGACTGCCTGGGACCTTGGGTCTTGAACTTTTACTTGGTTAGAGACCATTACTAATTACTAGTTACTACTTAAGCATGGGTGGACTAGTTACTAGTTACTAGTTACTAGTTACTAGTTACTAGTTACTAGTTACTAATTACTAGTAACTAGTTTCTAGGTACTACTTTTGACTGCCTGGGGCCTTGGGCCTTGGACTTTTACTTGGTTAGAGACCATTACTAATCTTTTCCTAACTTTTGACTACCTGCGGCCTTGGGCCTTAGACTTTTACTTGGTTAGAGACCATTACTAATTACTAGTTACTACTTAAGCATGGATGGGTCAAATCGTAAATATATGTCTGGAACTTGATATAGCGGATCTCAAACTCTAAACCCTAATCTTCACTTCAGTCTTTCTCTTCGCACTTCGCTTCAGTCTTCCTGCATCCTCTCTCTGCAATTGCCGAAATTGCCTTGCCTGCCATCTCTATTTCCTTCTCCCCTTAATAGCTTAACTCTAATCCCTTCTCCAAAGTCCAAACTCCAATCTTGAGCCATAGCAATCAGCAAAAAGGAAGCACCGAATCATGAAGTTTTTCCGCTTGCTGCTGCGATTCTAAGCCAAAAAAAACTCTGGAATTCAAGCTTATACCAGGTTCGTTAATCTTTTTCCCCTTTTTTTTCCTTTCGTTGCTGATTCTAAGCCAAAAAAAAAAACTCTAGAATTACGCTTTGGTTGCTTTGAGGATAAGAAGAGCATTTCTTGCATAACAGATTTACAAAGTTCTTTTATTTTCCACTAAATTGCTAGTTTCCAAATGTGTAGAAGTTAAATTTGGGGATTTTAATTTTTTATACCCTGGATGCAGAATTTCTTTCGAAATGAGAAATTGTTGCCTGAGAGCAAGCTAGAATATTCCGCTAAGGGAGCTAGAATGAAGTTGCTAAACCTTATAGAGGGATACCTGTTGGAAAATTCTGTTACTCTCTACAACTCTGCTCATTTAGTTTTCCTTTATTGTGCAGAGAATAGGACTGTATGCTGCACTTCACTGTATAAGGTCTTGTGTCTGGTGAGATAAGAGCCCTAATAGGACTAGATCTAATGACAAAAGTGAAATCTTGCACCATTTGGAGGATTTTTCTTAACAGGCTTTTGATGAGACCTGGGCTTTTGAATCATGACATCACTGAAATATATTTTCTTTTCCTAAATGAAAGAATGTCTAAATTAGGCTCACAATTCTTACTGAATAAACATATTGTTGGTTTTTCCAAGCTGATATATCCACGCAACGCCCTATTTTGGAATTCCTAAAATGATACATTCTGATGTGTTGTGCTGATTCTTGATGAATAAAGTATCAAGTGGTTATTTTGCCTGTCATATGTTTAAATCCAATTGACCTGATTGGAATTATGACTCGTCTGGAAATTTAGGATTATAAATGAATTCATGTACCATTTTGCTACTGAACTACTATGAGCCATCTGAACTTCAACTTCTATTTGTTTTTTTTGGTGGTGCAAACAAGTGTAGAGTTCCATTTTCTCCTTCTAATATTAGATCAATAGTTGTCCTGCCTTCATTAACATGACAGATGAAATCCATACAAAAATCTACAGTAACATGACAGATGAAAGTTTTCAAAATGTTAACCTTGTCAAGTTGATCAACTTCTGTTTTCCCATTGAATAGAGACTGCTTCGCTGAGCCAGATAAAAGATTTTAATTATCTCAACTAAAAAATACAATAGTGCATAAAACTACGCTCACCTGTACCACAAAGTAACCACCAAGTTAGTATATGGTTTCAAAGGGCTTCCATATTGACGTGCTAATCCAAAGTCACAGATCGTCAACTCACAACAACTATTTAAAAGTATATTTGATGTCTTTAAATCTCTGTGCAAAACCCAGTTATCGTGAAGATACTTAACACCCTCAAGAAATGCACAAGGCTTAGGGAATTAACTTCATTCTAGCTAAACGGTTGTTTCATTATCTCCATTAACCCCTTTAGATCTTTTAGTGACAGTTTCAGTTCCCAAATACGAATAGTTAAGACAATTGGACATATAAGTTTGATAACTATGTTAACTGTGTGTGTTAATTGTTGGATATTGCTCTTATGTTAATTGTGGTTTAGCATTTATATCTTATTCTATGCATAGGTGTGTGTGTCTTCTATATACATATATACATATATTTATTTATTTATTTATTTATTGAACCAGGGTTGAATCGGTCCGACCGATTGAATCTTGACCCTTTCATTTCACCGGTTCAATTGACGGTCCAAGTTTTAAAACATTGGTGAGATCCGCTATATCAAGTTCCGGACCTATATTTAGAATTTGACCCACCCATGCTTAAGTAGTAACTAGTAATTAGTAATGGTCTCTAACCAAGTAAAAGTCCAAGGCCCAAGGCCCCAGGCAGTCAAAAGATAGAAAAAGATTAGGATTAGGAAGCATGGGTGGGTCAAATCGAAAATATAGGTCCGGAACTTGATATAGCGGATCTCACTTGTACGCTGCTACATTATTAACTTTCCCTGTCCTCGCCGCTAGGTGAAGACACGGTTCTCCTAGCTGAACCGCAACACAGCATCTTCCGGCGACAGCCAACGGCGAGGATATATTTCTCTACCTCTTTATCCAGTAAGGTTACTTCATTTTATCTCTCTGTGACTGCCCCACCTCCCCCTAGGGCGTACCTCAGGGTTTAGTGGACCGCCTGCCCAACCCTCGTCAGGACTCACTCACTCACGTCTCTAGAAAATAACTTATATCTCTGGAAAATAAGTAACACCACAAGTTCAAACTTAATATATACATTGATACTCAGATCCAGTTACAAGGTTTATACACACCCAAATACATTAACGTATTTACAGTCCGAGTCCAATCAACCCTTGTCGAGTGCTAGCGTGAGTACCATTCAAAATTCAAAACTAGACTACTCTGTACAAGTCTCACGCCTCGCTCGTACCCCCTGCTAAGCAAAACAAATGGAATGGGGTAACCTATATGTTTAGTGAATAATTGGGGGTAAAAATGTAAAAGCACATTCAATTAAACATATAAATCCAAATATTTCACATCAATACAGAAATGTAACATCAAAATGGTAGGATACGGGTGGCTCCAAATCCAGTTCAATTCCCCGAGCTTGAACGCCTGTTGACACTCTGTCAACCAAAATACTCATAGACCGTAGACTCCACTTAACTTTTCCCGTTCACCTTATCAACCCCCGCTGGCCAGTCAACAGCACACATCAGCTCGAACGAAACAAAATAACTTAGCTTTCATCAAAGCTTTAACAAAGAACTAAATCCCAAGGTTAGCATGGAACTATTTTCGACCAAACCCCGGCTGGCTCGAATAGTTCGTCTACCCTTGGAACCGGGCTGGAACCAAGCCCTGAGATATCCAATCTCTCAATAGATGGTATCTCTCAACAAAGTACACAACAAAGTACTTACCCCAACAGCACACAGCAAAAGGGGTTTAATTCAAGTCATGTAATTACCCCCATCAGCACACAGCAAAAGGGTGATACTCAACATAAGGCAGGTATTCTCACTTATGAAATCAAAACAAAGGATGGGCTTAGGTTGAGTGAGATAAAGTACACCCTCGCCTAAGTACCCATTTAACATATACAAAGCACTTTAACAATTTCACATCAATAAACAACCCAATTACTCACTTGATAAAGCTTGGCACAAAAAACGATACAAGTCACTGCGCTTGACCGTCACCGTCAAAAGCCTCACAGTCTGTATTGACAGATTATATACACACATAAGTGAAACGACCATACAATAGCAGTTTATAACTTAAACAATTGAAAACGGTCGAAAACGGTCAAAAATAATCAAAAATGGTCAAAAACGATGTTAAGGCCAAAAGAATGTCAAAATCGGCCGAAACAGCCGGAATGGTAACAAAAATAACAAAAATAGTCCTCTAGTGAAAATTTGGCGGCATGCCCCTTGTGTTTACCAATTTTCCAGCCATTTATGGCTTCAATATTTTCCTCAAACAGTCCCAAAGTCACACATAAAATAATCTCATTTCAATAGCCATTCCATAGGCTCAAACTCATACAAGTACAAAATTAAACTAGGTACATGTCCGGAAATGAAATGGAAGGCATAAATCAAAAGACAGATTTGCCGTCACTTAGCGTAACGAGCACAATCGAAGCTATGCTTATTGGATTGGGATGAAATTTATACCGTTTCGAAGCTAAGACAAAGGCCTACAACTTTGATGAAGATCACTCTGTCCAGTTTATAGTGTATCTAAGTCAAAATCTCAAATTACAGAACCAGAATCTCACATTCAGGCTAGTCAACTGCACTATGCATAAACGACAATAACTCAGGCTACCAAAGTCCAATTGAGGCGATTCTAGGGGCGTTAGAAAGCTAAGACATAGCACTACAACTTTCATGTTTTGGTCAAATGATAATTCAGTACAGATCACGGTGAACAGACACGATCATATTGGGTGAAATGTCAAAACTGCCCCTAACATTCTACCTATGGCAGCCAAGGATATTTCGGTCTTTTCACATGATACAGTACTCAGATTGAGCTGAAATTTTACATACATATATAAAACATCGTTCCCTACAACTTTCATGTTTTGAGCTAAGACTAATTCAGCCTCTAACATGGTGAACGGAAACCAGGCAGAACAAGGGACATACTAACTTCAATTCTGGAAATTGGCTACAATCAAGATATAAAACTCATTTTTAGCTTGAAACCATCACTACCACCTCTTATACCAACATATATACATCATACACCATCCATACAATAAGTATGAGGAGGGTATCATTCAAACCCTAACTCAATTGCATCATTCCAATCATCCAAAATCACTTGATATAAGCATTATTATAACCACAAATACAAGCTACTAAGCAACTCCAACATGATTAAAGGACAAAGAAAAGCGTGGGCAGCCATGTACCTGCCAAAAACTCCCTTGTAGGTGTGAAACCAAACACTTTCTTCCCAAACTTTTATCACACACAACTACCTAAGCACTCAAATGAAGGTTTAATCGGTTTGGATTCATTGATTTTGCTCAAATGAAGGTGATTCAAGGTGAAACTTGGTGGTTGCTCACTTGGTTTCTTTCTCTCCTTTTCTCCTCTCTAAGTCACGGTTCTAATGTGCAGACATGGAGGCTAAAATGAAGCTTCAAGAAGGTTAAGAAGATATTAATAAGCTTGGGTCAAAGTTAAGTGGATTACCGCCAAGTGTCGCCGTAGGATTCAATCTCAATTTTTTTCTTTTCTTCCTTTTCTTTAGTCAACAAAGGTGGCTGGATTAATGGGTAATTTAGGGCTAATTAGTCAAGTAAAAACAAGGTAATTAAGGTAATAAAGTGGTGGTCAAGTGGTGTAATCCATCTGTGACGCCCCGAAAAGTATAAGTGTGCGAACCCGGAAATTTTCTAATTTTCTAGGGTTTTTTTTTTTTAATCGCCCGCCTTTTCTACATTTTCTTTATTAGAAAAATTCCCCAGATAAATTTTATGAGCAAAGATAGTTTTAAAATGATTTTTCTAGTATCGGTTAGTTTTTGAAAAATTAAGAGCGTATTTTGGACGTGGGACCCACAAGTGCGGTAAATGCATTATATTTTTGATAACTTGTTGGAATTTTGTATTAAGTGATATTATTTTACAAAGTGTTAAGATATTTGTATTGGAGAGACAAAAAGATAAGTTTTAAACCTAAAGGTGACAAGTGTCACCATAAGATTTAGTCTTGAGTTTGACTACTATTCATAACTTTACCATTTAATTAAAATTGGCCAAAAATCTCTTCATTTTGCAAGCTTCTTGGCCGAATTCTCTTGCTCAAAGAAAGAAAGAAAAGCTCTCAATTTTCTAGTCTCCAATCTTGCCCAATCTTTCAATTAAACCGATTAATCTTCCAATTACTCCATAAAACCTCTTAGTTTGGTGGAGTTGAGCTTGGTTGTGAAGTTGTTTGGAAAGCTAAGGTGACTAATTGCTCTATCTCTTGTATTGCTAAGGTGAGTTGTGAAGAACCACTTTCCTTCCTCTAATGATGTTCAATTCATGATTGGTGGTGGTATAAGATGCACTTTTATGGATTATATCTTGGTTTTGGTTGAATTGGTGAAGTTTTATAATTATTGGGGATTTTTCTGTTTTCATATGGATATTATTGTGTGGTTATATATGATGATTGGAAATGATGTTTAAGGACTCTATGAGGTGGAAAAAGTGATTAATTGCAACCAATTTCTGTTTTGGAAGAAATTTTGGAAAGTTAGGGTTTATGATTGTGCATTCTGCCCGAATTTATAGGTCATAGATAGAGGCCGAATTGGCCTTGGCTTAAAACATGAAAGTTGTAGGAAATGACATTTTAGAGGTGCCTACAAAATTTTAGGTCAATCAGAGTAGCGTAGAATGAGAAAAGTCGAAATTACTATTGCTGTTCTGGTTTTACCCGAATGTAAGAATTTCACCTGTAATTGGTTGTTTTGGCTGGAATTGCTTCAGAATTGGCTGTTGAGGTCTTCTAATGAAATTTATCCCTGTTTCTTAGCTTTCAGCTGGTTTTGGAATTTCTGGATTTGGACTTGGATAGCCTGCTTTATGATGTTTCCGCTAGAATGTGTTCTGTGAATCTATTTTTGTGATTCTGGTATGGTATCTTGCATTTTTGACCTTGTTACACTCGAAACTGGACAGAGTTTCCTTCTGGAACATTGTAACCCAATCTCTTAGCTTCGAAACGGTGGGTCTTGGACCTTCATCCGATAATCGTAGTGCCTTTGGTACCATTACCGCAAAATGACGTCAAAACCTATTTTTCTGGTTTTGAGCTTAACTTTCATTTCCGGACTTTTCCCTAGCTTGACTTGTACTAGCTACTTGGAGCTTGCTGAATGGCTATTGGATGAACTTGTTGTTGTGTGTGTACCTTTGGGTTGGAATGAGGAAATAATGAAGCCATGATGGCTGGAAGAGTTAGCAAATTCAGGGGAAGTGCTGTCCGAATTTTGAAAGGACTTGTTTGCATTGAGTTTGTGAACTAAGACTTGGATTTGAGCAAGGCAATGATATATGATGGATGGTTCCTGAGCCATGGAGGTGAGTGACCCCAAACTATTGTTAAAGCTTCTTATGAAATGTTTCTTGCATTATTTACTCGACTGCATCTCATGCGTGCTTGCATGTGAATTCATGATATGATTTTGGCTTCAATGAGTTCTTGGGGAGTCTTGTGCTGGACACCAACGTCTCCACCTCTGTTTACTTGGAGCAAATGGCTCCGGAGCTCAAAAAGGGGCTCCCTCTTAATGTTAATGTTAATGTTAAATGTTCTATTTGAGCGTTGGGTGTTCAAGTGCTATGACTTCACTGGCTCACGAGAGCAATAAACGGACATTTGATCTCTGAATCATGACATCATCGAAAGGATCAAAATGCAATATTGTGAAATATATTTGATTACTGATTTTACTAGTTACTCGCTGAGCTTCTAGCTCACCCCAAAACTATTTTATTCCCCTCCACAGGGCTCGTGGCGAAGGAAGGCTTGTTGTGCTTATTCACGTGAATAGATGGCCTATATTTTGTACAGTTGGATTTGGAATCATTTCTTGTTCCGTTGAAGTCCTGTTCAGTTGAATCTACGATTGTACTTGTATTGCTTTGCTCTCTTGAGGTTTTAGTTGATAGTGCAAGTGATTAGTTTCCGCTTCGCTTTTGATATGTAATTCTTGTAGAATTTGATGTAATATTTGAGATTTATCTTGTAATTTATTTGAGGAATGTAGTGATCGACTGAGTCCCGGCGAGAGCTGGGCAGGCGGTCCGCCGAACCCTCTGGTTCTCCTTAGGGGGAGGTGGGGCTGTCACACCATCGATAGAGAACGGTACACGTCGGTTCAACCCGATTTTCCTTAAATCGCGTATACTAGGGTTTTAACTTATAATTCACTAACTTATTATTATCACCTCTAATCCCACACTTAATATCATCTAAAACTCATTTTTAATCACCAAATTTGATCCACACTTCGTACCGGATAGTCGCACTACGAATAGGCGTAAAATCCTAATTCACGCTAACTTAAAAAACGAAAAGTGAAACCCTACTTTCTAGGCTCATTTGCACTTATTGTGGGGTGATTGAGTAGTAAAGCTATTAGAAAGGAATAAACGCCAAATAAAAGGATATTTAAGTAAAAATGTGAGGGATTTTACAATTCCCTTGATTCCAGTTAGGGTTTCGGGTAAAATATGAGAGATTTGAGAAAACCGAGTAGTCACAAGTAAAACTAGGGTTTTTTTTATTAGAATTTAGGGTTTCTAGTCTTTAAAACAAAACAATGTCTTAAAATAAAAATAAACTAAAGGAAGCGTAATATTTTTTTTTTTAGACTAAACAACAATAGTATCCTAAAAGTTGGGGTATCACACTCTCTCTTCTCGCCTTTTATTTATTTATTTACTTTTAATCTCACAAATTTCAATCTCTTGTATGCATCTTTTTTTTTTTTGCTATAATTCTTAGAATTGATTGTGCATTTCTATATTTACGTTTGTGTATGATTTTTTAAACTTTTTTTTCGAAGCTTTGTGCTGGATTTACTGTTATATAGTTACTGCTAATTAATTTTTGGTAGCTTTCTGCTGGACTTTGGGTTTAGGGTTTTGCGTAGGAAGCATAGCAGGAAATAGCAATAGCAATGAGTCGTAGCTTAGGTATACCGGTAAAGCTTCTACACGAAACCACAGGACACATCATGACCGCAGAGCTGAAGAGCGGAGAGCTCTACAGAGGCAGCATGGTTGAATGCGAAGACAATTGGAATTGCCAACTCGAGAACATCACTTTCACAACTAAGGTACTCTCGTTCCAATGTTATTCTGCCCTTCATTAAGAATTGTGAAACTGCTTTTCTGTTTCTGGTGTCTTTATGCTGCTTTCGAGCTTCTTAATGCCTTTTTCTTTCACTTTGATTCCAATGCATAATAGGCGGAAGCCTACGATGATTTTCTGCGGCAGGAAAATTGAAACTATGGGATGTTAGTAAATTGGAACTGAAATCTATTCACTCTTTAAGGAGTTAACATGGGTTGGGTGGTGAATGCTATTCAGAACACGAGGACAGTCAGTTGTATTTGTGCTCATAAATGATTTATACAGGTTTTCCTAGTAAGAATTTCATGTTTGTGGCAAAAGTATTTTAAAACTATTATTGGCAATATGTTCTCATATAACAGAATTCTATCCAACTAAATTCCAGGCCGTGTATTTTCTTTTTTAAAATTCTTTGATCTTACATGCAAAACCGTTCTTTAATATGTGTTTTTTTTTTGTTGTGGGTTAGGTCTTTAATATGTGTTTTTATTGTAGATTTAAACATCTTATTTTATGACGTGTCCTTTAGGTGTCAGATGCACGTCTTAGATTTTACAACAAATTAAGTGTCTTCTGCACACATGCTTTAGAGTTCACAGTATGTCGGACTACCCGGGGTTGGGGTTGTAAGGAACTTTTTGACCTGTGGATGCTCATTTATCATACTTATTTTAACTGGCAGCTGGTTTTAAGAGTATTTCTTCCTTGATAATTTCATTGAAATTGGACCTGTCATTTTTGACATTCATTAGCAATTATTTCCAGTGCCATATAATTTCTTCTACATCAATGGCTACAGAATGTAAGATCTCTTTTTGAATTGTTGATAGCTTCTGAACAGTCTCTTATCCTTTCATGGATCTTTGAAGCACTAATATAATTTACATCTTCAGCCGCCTCAATCCTGATATCTTCTTTTTTGAACCTCTGAACTGAAGCAAATTAGCTTCAAGACTTCAGTTGTTTTTGACTGCCTATTAGAGAGAGTTTCATTGGATTAAGATGTTATGTTGTGCCCTTTTGGCTTTTTTTAGTCTTGTGGAAGACTAATTTTGGTCTGTATCTTTATAGGATGGCAAGGTATCACAACTTGAGCATGTTTTCATTCAAGGAAGCAAAGTCAGGTACAAAAACTGTAATATAAAATATTTTCTGATTCTCTCAACTGCTTTCTGAGTTCTGATTATGGGTAAAACAAATTTTATCAGGTTTATGGTGATTCCAGATATGCTTAAGAATGCTCCAATGTTCAAACGTCTAGAAGCTAGAATCAAGGTGCTTTCCCAGTTTGCCTATGTGTATTAGAGTGTATTTGTGACCATCACAGCTTTGCTTACACTTTTTATATTATCTTTTGAAGGGCAAGGGTTCAGCACTTGGCATTAGACGGGGACGTGCTGTTGCCATGAGAGCCAGGGTAAGATCTATTTCGTGACTTTTGCATCTTATGCTCCTCGATCATTTATTTAAATCTAAAAGTTAGGAATGACACTCCATATCTGCACCGTAAGCTCTGAAATGCATTATGATCTCTTGTCAAGAAAAGGCAATGCCGGATGGCCACTCTAGAACTGGGATTTAACAAATACTGTAGAACAAAGAGAATGTAGTTTTACGGAGTATGTAAAATGATTAGCTTGGAGAAATATGTGGGGTTACAAATTAAGTTTTGTGGGGTGAATTTTGCCTGACTGTGCCATCCGTGTATGCAGGCTCAGGCTGCTGGTCGTAGAGCTCCACCAGGGAGGGGCATTGTGCCACCTGTAAGGAGGTGATCATTCTAGAATATGATTGTAATCTTAAGAGCATCAAAGCTCGTATATTATGCAAGGGAGATCATCAAATCCATGTTATGCAGCCCAATTTGGTATAGGATAATATTTGGCCTTTGAGACCTTAAGAATTATGTTTTTTATACTAGTGATCATAAAATGTCGCTGATGAGGTTGAGTAGCATGACGTAGGGCATGGTGAATAGTGATATTCATCATGTAAAATGAATTCTCAACATATATACTCTATCTTACGCTCTATCTAACCAACCGAAATTCCAGAAAACTTTAATTTGATCCAAAAGTCATTAAGTGACAGAGCTAATTATTGGTTGGCATTCTGCACTTAGGATGGTCATAATCATCTTTACTCATGCAATGATACAAGCCTCATGCTGTCACCAAGATTGCATAGAACAAACTGAAGAGGACACCCTGTTCAAGTATGACATGGAATTATCCAATTAAAACCATCTCAAATAATTCTATTAGTTTAAAATGACTATGCCAATTAGTTTCCACATTGCTTAAGCAGTACAAATCAACAAAAGTTCGTCTAATTGAAAAGGCAATACCCACAACTAAAGAGCTCAAGAAAAGCATGCACATTATCATGGAATTATCGACTAATACCATTCCAAAAAAATAACGAGAAAAGACAATTGCTAAGAACGTAAGTTCAGTCAAAGTAGTATTTTTTCATGGATGAAGATTATATTGGTATTACTATCATACTAATTCTGGTAATCTTTTTGAAACACAATGGCAGTGGAGCTACTTTTCCAATATTTTCTTGCTCCTAATCCATGTAAAAATCAATAAATTCTAATACATATTCCAGTGAGCTCAATGTCCTCAATCAGAATCCAAAATATTCGATCCTTAAAATGCAGAAACAAATAAGTAATTGCTGATGCAATTCCATATATCTGTTTGACAAACAAAAAAAAAAATTTTGAGGAGGGGGGGGAAGGCAGAGACTTATCACAAAAAAGAACCAAAATTACCAGCCTCCACTAACACATAAGCATCTTTATAACAAATTTAAGAGCTAGAATCACACGCAAAATTAATGAAAAACACCTGAAAATAAAAGTTAAAAAAATTGAACGGTTAAATTACATAAGCACAGCACTTGAAAAAAGCAGAAGAAAGTAAATTAGAAAGAAAAACTAAATCAAAATTAAAACAAAAGGGGATAAATACCAAGGTCTCCTCCGCGCTTAGCAGAGCTGCAATCGGAGCAACGAGCAGCAACGTCCTCGAACTTAGCCTTGCTGGAGACGATGTCTTGGTAGAGAGCTATGAGCTGAGAAACGGCAGCGTCGCGAGTGGTGTTACTGATGATTTGGCCTTCTGGATCTTTCCAGAAAGCTTTGCACCGGGATCCTTCGTGCTTTATCAATATATGGGAAGCCCTAACGCTATCTGTGGAAGATGAGGACGAGGACATTTTCGTCTTCTTCTTGTGCTTTTCCGACCGATCCGTTGATGGATTCGGAGCCGAATTCTTCTTCCTCTTCCGATCTAACTCTATTTTTGCAGCTTTTATTGGTTAAATTTTTATTCTGTGAAGAGCAACGGAATGGAGAAAGTGGGAATTAACAACTGAGCTCGAGTTTGACTGACCTTAATAAGTACCCGAGTGATGTCTTGCGCTTCACCAGTGGCGACTCCAAATTGAAGTGCAGGATCAAATACTCCTACTACTCAAATCAAATAATATTAAACCAAAGGCTACTTGCTTAAAATATAGGCATAAAAAAAAAACATCTGTCAAATGTAGCTTTGACACACTATATTTTTCAAACTATACCTACCGTGCTGACTCAACACAGCAGCAGAATAAATTCTCTGACCTCTGCAAAAGTTTCAATGCGGTCAGCAGCGCAATTTTTTTTTTTTTAATCAGCCTGTCCCCTGCCGTGTTGACTGGGCATGGCTGGGGATAGGCGGTCAACAAAAAAAAAGGGCCAGGGGCCTTTGTCAGCCATTCTTAGGCGCCTGACAAAGGTCATGTGACGTGTGGAAATTATTGCACCGCTACCGTGGGAGCATAACTTGACATCTACCGTGGGAGCTAACAGACTTAGGATCTAGTTTAGCACAATCTAATTATTTAGTAGGGAAGATATTCACTATTTGAAACAATTGCATTATCACTAGGAGCGAGATTTGGAATTCGATTATAACTAGTGCTCATGCACATCCAATGTGTGTGCAATCAAAAAATATATAATATTTATGATCATATATTTTAAATAATTTTTTTATTATGAAAACACATTTTAATCTTTTAAATATTTTTCATAAAATAATTTTATATTAGTAGTTATGATATTTATGGGTAGTTATGTTGAAAACATATACTTAAAATAGTTAAAAGTAAAATAGTCATGGGTAGTTATAGATAGTTAAAATAAAAGTAGCTTTTATCATGGCAAAAAGAAAAGTTCATTTTTTTATAGGCAAAAAAGTTATACCCCATTTATAATTAAACAAATGATCAAATTCATATTCATTTTTGCACTTAAACAAGCAAGATCTGACTTGATACCATATTCATTTTTGTCAATTTATATTTATTTGTGTCACTAAAAAAAAGTAAAAGTTGACATTTTTGTATAAAACAATTATTACATATGGGTCATGTAATAATTTAGACTAAAAAGTGGTTGAAACTTAGGTTGGGGCCAAAAATTGTGAATTTGAATTTGTAAGATATATAAAGTTAATATTTTAAAAGTAAAAGATGAAAAAATTCGTTTAACGAAATGTAAAAAATATTTTAAACGATTTTTCTTAAAAATATTTATTATTCATTATGCAAGAAATGAATCTTTTCCAATTATAAATATTTCTTGTAATAATAATTAACAAGAACCCAATTTCATAACCATAATCCAGTTGGTACCAACATGGCATGTTAAGCTTGGGATCGTAATTATGAAAACCCGACTAGTATGTTAAGCACTTTGTCAGTAATAACAAAACTCAGGTTTTGACGCAAGAAAGTCATTAATTCACTCAGCATTTCCGGGCTCCATCCATCATCAAGGCCAGGTTTGTTAAGCCAACCCTACAGCCACAGCCGATTGCCTTATTTCAATTGGGTCCCAATTGAGTTAATACTTCATCTGCCTACGGAGGAGAGTTCACTCTACTTTCCACACTAGAAGCAACAAAACTTTAAAAACCAAACCCCTAGCCTTTTTTTTTCCCGAAGTCAGCCGACAGCTGCTGCAAGGGGGTTAGAAGTGTCAGCCCCAGCCGTGCTGACTGTGCACGGCTGTGGCTGACATCCGCGTCAGGGAGCCGTGCACAGTCAGCACAGCTAGGACTGAGACCCCTACTGAATTTTATGTTGTCTGACTGTGGATGGGAAATTCATTTTTGCTGCCGTGTTGAGTCAACACGGCAGGTGTAGAATGAGAAATAAAGTGTGTCAGAGCTTCATTTGGCGGATGTTTTTTATATACGAATATTCTAAGAAATTAGCCTAAACGAAATTGGTCACTCGCAGGCCTTGGGCTACGTGTGTGCGTGCGCCCTCTGGTGTACATGGGCTTTTTCAACTAGCCTGTTACACTGCCCAAATGCTTTTATTTTTATTCATTTTTTTTTGTGGCAAGAGTTGGAAAACAAAAAATGTCGAAGAGCATGCGATGCAACAAGTAAAAACTGATTTTTTGTCGTTAAATTTGTCCTACGAATTACTACAATTAGAATTTCAGCAACAGCACCTTTTATTTTTCATTTACATTTCAGCTTTCTAGAATTAAGTATTTTCTTCGTTACTGTTGTTTTCTAAATAATCTTCAATACAAGTGAAAATGCTTTAATCTGACTATGAGATATTAAAAAATAATAATAATTGATGGTACCCAAAAGTAAAGGATAAAATTTTATTATTTTTGCACATCCACACTATTAATGGCCTAGTGCCAGTAGCCAGCATGGTACCCGTAACAGTGTGTATCCACGATAGAAAAATTATAATATCCTTAAACGAATTAACTAATTAGACTATAATATCCTTTACAAAGCAGATAAAATATTGTACCAAAAAACAAAAAATCAGTCGCTCCAATTTTGAGGAAAAATGTCGTGAAATCCAAAATTTGTCATAATGCTCAATCTCTCTCAAGGAATTGTTAGATCTTCCAAGGAATAACTAAATTAGCGGTATAATTTAACAAAAAAAATGTCGCGGGCAGCTGAACGAAATTGAATAAATTTTCCTCCGAAAATATATGCCTCCCAGGATCTTTAAGTTCACCACCAAAAATATCTCTTCCTAAACTTCTCTGAGGATGGGCCAAGCTTTTCTTAGGATGTCATTGATCTTTGCATGAATACGTTTTTGCAATCTTGGCGGACAAAGCTCTGCTGCATAACCATTTAATTTGGCTGCCAGACTTGATTTTTCCAGCTCTTCTTCAGGCAAGTTTCCCATTAGTTGAAGAAGAAATGGATTCCGTTTCAGCTCAAATTTCTGAAGATCACAAGTTAAAATTTTCATTATTGTTCCTTTCATTCTTATAAGTGCAAAATGTGCCTAGTAAGAATATCGCAGAAGCCAGGAATAAGATAAAGGTTTTAACTTCTAAAGAAAACTAAGCAGAGGTCATCCTTCTGCACTCGTAAATTCTGCTGGACCACCTCTTTCAGAATCTACAAGTGGCTACAGTGACTCCCTCCTATCCGTTCCGAATAGGAACAAAACAAAGGAAAAACCTGTACTTGTAACACCAATTTTGCTTTTTGTGATTTATACAAGTTGATGAAAGATACTAACCTGATGATCAGGCCCTGCAGGATAGAATGTTCCCAGTTGCTGAATTTGAGTGGTTACAATGCCACTCTTTGACCTTGTCTGCTCTCTTTCTTTACTTACAGATGTGACGGCCCCACCTCCCCCAAGGGCGTACCCCAGGGTTCGGCGAGTCGCCTGCCCAGCTCTCGTCGGGACTCACTCCCTCACTACAAACCTCAAACAAATTTCAATATAAATCTCAAATATACATCAAATCATACATACCACGAGTAGCAGAAAGTAAACCCTAGAAAAGTTGATAATTATAACCACCACAACAACTATATACATCTTGCCAGTTAACTTATAACAAGT